GATAGCCCCTACACCTACAAGAGGTAGGTTGAAGTGGTTACTATAAAAGCTTTCGCGTTGTTGCAATTGGCTGGACGACCGCCCTCATTTCCTCCCCAACACGGTATAATTTCCACAAGAGCTTTTATTTAAGCCTAACGAATCAATCAATGAAGCCAATTCGAAAGCCCCTACACCTACAAGAGGTAGGCTGAAGTGGTTATTATAAAAGCTTTCGAGTTGTTGCAATTGGCTGTAAGACCGCCCTCCCCCTAAAAATTGATCACATAATGAGGGGGGCATTAAAAATTAATCAAAATCAATTATTGGTAACTTATATAAATGAATAAACATAGTTATTCACCAATGGCTCATGTAGAAATATATTGACTATGAAAAGTAACAAAAAACCACCAGAAGAGAAAGTTTCTTTAATTACTTTACGTAGATTTTGCCCTGTTAAATGGGGGGGGGGCATCATCAGGAGTTCGAATATAACATTATAACGTAGCAGTATGACATTCAACAGTCACAGTGTTGCACTTGTACTCCTAATGATCCCCCCCAAGCAAGGCGAAATGTACATAGAGTAAATAAAGATGAACATTACAGAACTTTGTATTTGTTTGCTAATATTCTTATAGAAATGATTGGTTAATTAGAAGATTAGACAATTCATGTAGGAACTACTGCTACTAATAAATTAAAAAGAATTAATATATACTAGTTAAGAGTTCAAAAACTACTTTTCTGAATTATCTCAAGAAAAAATGCAGTTGATATTTGGAAGCACATAATAGCAATTAACCAATTCTTTCTATTTAACAAAATGTTTGGGTGAAATATGAAATACTAAAAAAATCGCACAAAAGTTTCTAATAAAACCGTCAACCGATAAATCCGTCGCGACGTCGACCAATCGCCACCAACACCTGAAAATCAATAACAAAGAATATTAATTACTATTACTACAAAATAATAAAAATTCAAAAATGAAAATTAGGTTTGACTTATTGTTAATTAGTAATTCAAACTGATAGAAGTGCAAATTGAACTTTTCCAAAGTATCTCAAAAAGCTTTTCAATTTAAGAATTTTGAAACCAAAAGAGAAATTTATTTTATTAAAACGTTCATTTGGCAACTCATTTGAAAAATAACGTTGACAACTAATTGGGTTAGTAAACGATATACCAAAATCCTACCTTAGTCTACGATGAAGAAGATCTAGGCGGCGTTCGAACGACAGGAAAATAAAATAGATCGGACTGCACTTTTTCGTTTATACTGTGACAATTTTCATCTTGTCATCGTTCCCGTTTTTTCGCGCGTTACTGTACGACACTCCCGGGACGAACACTTTGGAGGAACCGGGAAAAACCCGACCCGAAGGACCGAACGCGCCCTGAAAAGTACCTACGAAAGAATCGACGAACGTGAACTTTTGTGCGAGACTATACATATTTCTACATGAGCTTTTACCTAAGCCTAATAAATCAATCAATAAAGCCATTTTGAAAACCCCTACAACACCTACAACAGGTAGGTTGAAGTAGTTATTATTAAAGCTTTCGCACTGCTGGGCAACCGCCCTACCCTTGCAGTAAAATTTCCGTAAAAGCTTTTAAACCCAACAGCCGTTTCATCCTAAAGGGGGTAGCAGACTGAAATGTTTAACAAAACATTCCAATTAGTTGGAAATTATTATTGGACGCCCCCACTGCAGTAAAACTTTTGTTAATTTAATCAGTGGAGCCAGTTTAAAAACCCCTACACCTACAAGAGGTAGGCTGAAGTTGTTGTTTTAAAAGCTTTCACATTGTTGCAATTTGCCCTCACCCCCTCCCTCTCGCGGTAAAATTTCCACAAAAGCTTTTATTTAAACCCAACTAATCAATTGAGGCAATTTGATAGCCCCTACACCTACAAGAGGTAGGTTGGAGTGGTTACTATAAAAGCTTTCGCGTTGTTGCAATTGGCAGGACAAACGTCCTCGCCCCCTCCCCCTTGCGGTACATCTTCCACAAAAGCTTTTACTTAAACCCAACGAGCCAATTTGATAGCCCCTACACCTACAAGAGGTAGGTTGAAGTGGTTACTATAAAAGCTTTCGCGTTGTTGCAATTGGCACGACAAACGTCCTCGCCCCCTCCCCCTTGCGGTACAACTTCCACAAAAGCTTTTACTTAAACCCAACGAGCCAATTTGATAGCCCCTACACCTACAAGAGGTAGGTTGAAGTGGTTACTATAAAAGCTTTCGCGTTGTTGCAATTGGCA